CTTGTGTTGTCTCCTTGCAGCAGGTTCAGAACAAACACATCTCATCACATGTTTTGATCCTATTCATGGCTCTGTATAACCATTTGAGATAAATAGTAATAAATCAGTGTTTTATAGCTCCAGGTCTCTGGTTTATTGTCCAAAATGTTATCATCTTTGTATTAGCTTGCCTGTGCCAGACACTACCACCACTGTTGACCTCTGTCAATAATGCAAAGAGTTATCTTAGCAGCTGAGGATTAACCCACTTTGGTTTCTGTCTGCTTACTTAACTCACCCTTCAGAGCACGACTAGGGCTTTGGTGTGAACATCGCTGACAGAAAACAATAAGCAGGATCAATTCAAGGTTCTCAGTGTCAGAAATGTGATTTTTGTGGGCATTTAAAAAAACTTTAGTACTTTTTTTGTCTGGTTTTATCAAAGAACCTTTCACAACATTCTGTTTTGTTTTGAACTAACCAAATAATGTGTATTATAATTAAGTCAGAGTCTGCACACTGGTCTGGCAGTTTCGCCTACGCATCAGCTCACAGCCAGGTCATTTTTCAAGCATCAAATAACTAATTATAACTTAATGTAAATAAAATACCTTATATATATATATATATATATATATATATATATATATATATATATATATATATATATATATATGTATAAACTTTAATAAACAAATACATCTCATGTAATCGCCACAACAACAGGCTTGTATCTGCAGCAATCCCATGTTTTTTTGTGGTTTTACCATCCCTTGCTGGTTTTTAATCACACACAAACAACAAAGTCTGCTGTGGAACATTGACCTGTTGCCTCTCGACCTCCCACACGAACATCTGGAGGCAGTTTTATGTGTTTATGTGGTAATTTCCTCCCTTTAAACCTCCTTGGATGACTGACTAGAAAGCTTATTATTTGAACCCTGTCACCTTGTGAAAAGGTTTTGGGGTATTTATGATGTGGTGAGAGTTTTTGATGGTGTGAAGGTTTCAGCTTCAAGACCTTTGATGACGTTGTCACCTAATAAAAAAGTGATTTAGCTTAAGGACCCTTCTCATGGCAGCTCCATTATAGGGCTGCTGTTCCCCCAAAGCACCAGCCTTCTTTTTTCCTGGTCTCAGTGCTGCTATCTGCCATGAGTGAGCCTAAGTACTTTGGACAACCTCTATTAAATATTGAGACAGAAGCTGGATGCATGTGGGTTTACTGTAAGTGGGCATCTGAAAGTGCTGGACATAAGGGCAGAAGAAAGGAAGAAGGGTCAAGTGGATGGAGAAGTCGGCATACTATTATTTATTTTAACATAACAAGACAACTTTGATTAATTCATATTTTTGTTCTAAAACTGACCTCTTGACTCTTAACTTGAAAGTTGTGGCTTTTTCTTTAAATATGAAACATCTGATATAAAAAGGGTAAAATTCCAGTTGAGCTGCATAAATAAAATGTCTGATGAAAACTTGTGGAAGTAACGTTCATTATTAAGCTTCCGGTGAAGACTGGTAACCAGTGGCAGCCTTTGCTGGAGTAGACGGAGATGGCTCCACCACAGCAGTTTCCTCAGCCTCTTCTTCCACCTGCTTTACTTTGACAGTGCAGCCACTTAAGTCCAACACAGGTAGCAGTTTCAACCTCTCTATGGTGGCAGTAGCAGCATATTTCAGATCCTTTTTCATCATTGTATGTAGGCCACTGAGACCAAACTTACCAGCCACCTCCACCAAATCGCTCTTGTGACATTCTTCAATTTTTTCCTGGGAAGGGGCCTCTAAAAATGTCTTTAACTCCTTCACTGCCAGCTGTTTCCTGATCAGAAAAGTCCTTCGCTGCCAGCGTTTTTCAGCATTTTTACTGTTTTTTTAAGAGTCACAGGACGTTGCACACTCGGATGATGTCGACGCCAAAACTAACAAAACAAAGAGTAGACTCACCTCTTAAATCAGGAAGAATCTGTGCATTTTGAGTGTTAGCCGTTCTTTCATAGTCCGCTGTCGAATTGTGATCGGCAGAAGCTTTTCCAGTTCGCGCCTCACCTTTTTTTACAGCAGTGGCCCAAAATGTTCTCCTAACAAATGGATTTTGTGTTTCCCAATCACGTGACGTTTGACATATGTGGATGAAGATCAGCTTGAGCTGGGATGTTTGTTCTCATGGTGTGAACGCTCATTCCGATGCCCACACAGTAAAAAAATGCAAATGAGGACTTTAGTCGTCATTGACAGTGAATGGTTGGATTTAAAATGACAACTTTTGTCAACAATGGCAGTGAACAAGTTGATCTAAATATGGTGCTACAATCAACATACTACTATATAATCCAACAAATGCTAACAAAAACCACAACAGAACCACTATAACTTAATACATTTTATTTATAAATATGTGAAGAGCCAGGAATTAAAAATATCCCGGACATGCCCCCATTATGTTACAACCCCTCCTAGTCTAGGAGGTCCAGGAGGGAGAAGCACAGGAAACGAAGTAGGAATGGAACAAATCAAGGATTCTGAAAAACCATTTAAAGGGTTTATTCTCAACAAAACAGAAAAAGAGAAACCACTAAAATATGCTGGATACCGGCCCTCGAGGCCCAGACTTGAATATCCCAGGCCTAGGTGAATAACAGACCAACTGATTCCCCTAACTGTGTGGAAAACTCTTCTTTAAGTAAGGCTCTGGGGCTGATTGTTGATGCGCTTGCAGCTGGTGCTGCAGACATGGTGATGCCCCTCTCCATGGTGCTGAAAGGACTATTGAGAATGCAGCAGACTAGAGCTATCCAAGGTGCTGATAAGGCAAACAGGAACTCAGGCAGGAGATGTTCAAACTCAGTAAAAACGGTATAAACGCTGGGGTTTGTAACATTGTTTAAAACCTTTACTAGTAAAATATTATGTTTTTGCACAGCAACCAGTTAAAGTTGTTATAGTGAATTAGCAAACAAGCTAGGTTTTGAATGCAAACACAGTCATGGAACACTGACCCCTTCCCTCAGGTATCTTCCACCGGACACCCACATTGCTAGAGGATACAAGATAATTCTAAACACCAGTCACCTTTTTCTAACTCCAAACGTCACTTGTTATCCGTGATTTCAAGTGGTGTTTATCTTTTTGGTACTTTGGTAGTTTTTTCTAAAGCTGAAGTGGTAGCAGTCGACTGTTTCTCCTTCTCTGATATTATTCAGATGAATCTCTAACACCAGTGGTGTTCTGTGGCTAAATACGTAAGTGTGTAATGAATGGAGGACTCAGGGAAGTGCGGAAGTGCAGTGGTTTGACGAAACTGACAATCAGATGGTCCAACAGTAAAACAAGGTAAATGTTTTTCAATTTTACTGACCCTTTAACATTTACAAGGATCACTGATTCCTAAACAGTTCATACACATGTTAGTACATGCACATGTTAGGTCATGAAAACAAGAAGTCCAAGGTTATTAAAAATGACAGAAGATGACGGAAATTTACCAGTCTTAAAAAACATCTTAAAAGTTTATTGTTCAGATTGGGATTTGCTATAAAATGATTAAATACCAATCAGAAGCACTAAAATAGCTTGATGGTATATAACTTACAGAATGTGAAATTATGCAGATACATTGTTTGTCAAAAAGCCCTCGTGCTTTTTATTCATATCTTCCTATAAATGAATACAGGTGGGAACCAGCTGCTGTGCTGAGTGGAAATTATGTCAGTGGAATGGGTATTTCATGCAATAATTACTGGTGATGGCTGACATAGGCTGCTAGGAGTGCACTGTCAGTTTATAGGAATTAGGTATGAAAATTCAGTCAGCATGTTGGGGACTTTTAAAAGCTTCCATGAGTGGTCATGCTTGCCAAAGTAGAACTTAATGGGTCCGATGAAGCTCCACAACCTTCATCAGAATCCATCAAGCTAACACCTTCTGGAGAGGGTGAAGTGAAAATGCTTACTACGCACAACTATGCACTCACGTTACACTTCTTAATAAGCTATCACAGACATGCTGAAAGCCTGGAGGCAATTTTCTGATCTGCCATGGCACACACACACACACACACACACACACACACACACACACACACACACACACACACACACACACACACACACACACATTGATGACATCAGAAATATGAGGCAACAGTTCAGAACTGAAACCGGAGGTGACTTCAAGGTCAGGGGTGGTGGGCTGGAATTGAATGCTCCAGTTTACGGGTGACTTTGTATATTATAGTTTGAGCTGCTTGGGCTGAAAACCACCTTACAAGAGGTAAGAGAGGAATGTTACACTAAAGATCCAGTTGTGATCATCACCCATTTTCCACCAACATTCAGTATGTTTAAGCAGAGATTCATTAACCCTAAAGACATCCATTACTGTGTGGAAAGTCTGCAAGTCTTATTACCAGGAAACCTGAGAAAGCTTCTGCAGAGCTCATAGTTGACAAACTAAAGCACATACAGTTTATATTGCAGGGAAGAATTTTCAGTCCATGGCTCTTAGAAATTGTATTTATTCTGAATATCACGAGATCAACGGTATAATATATAACATCAAGAAACATCTCACTTTCAGTGAGAGGGAACAGATCAAGGAAATGGAACGTATCGGAGAGATTATCATTAGGTCATGTACAATTTGCACTGATACTGAGCTACCCTGCATGAGTATCATTGTTATAAAAGATGAGATCAGTGGGTCTGGAGTTGTTTCACTTGGTATGCTAGAACAAACTCAGAACACTGATGAATAGTTCTGTTTTGGTTCACAGACAAAAGCCCTTCATTTGGGATTAGATTCACCTTTGACTCCAGTGTTCTAACTTCCTCTTGGTCATGTTAGTTTGTTTTTAACTTTTAGCTTTATTCTGAAAAAGCATGCAGTAATTCAATTCAATTCAATTCAATTCAAAGATACTTTATTAATCCCAGAAGGAAATGACCACATTTATGCTGATGATTGTCAAATCTACCTATCCGTAAATCTCTATACTTTCTTATACTGTCTTTCTGTGGTTAAAAACTGAATGGTATTGAATTTTCTTCTTCTGAATGAAGGAAAAACTGAAGCAGTTTTTTGTCCTAAAACCACCCCCACCATATCCAGATCCTACTCCACTCTCCGTTTCTTTTAAATCCTGTGTGACTGGTCTGAGGGTGTTAAGCTCAACTCTGACGTTTCCATAGCCCTTTATAGAAGACACACCATGCCAGCAAATCAGCATAATACTGCCACCACGGCGTGTTCATAAGACACACAGTGGCGGCAGTATTATGTTATTGCACGAATTTTGTGGCATTGATGCCGCCACGCTTGGTAGTATTATTACTGCAACGCCGGACTTGTGAGGGCATTTTATGCCTTGACGTAACAGATCACGTGGAAATTTACTGCCGAGCTCGGGCAGGAAACCATACTGAAAATGAAAGTAAACACGGGTAATACGTTTGGCTTTTGTAAACGGAATTAGATGAGATATACGACCTAAGGCCACCACAGCCTTGCAGCAAATTAGCGGCATTGTTTTCTAAATGAGGCTCATGTCTCCTCAAGTTAATGCAACCATTAAATCTTGTTTCTTTCAACTCTGTTGCATAACCTGGCCTAAACATATTCTTAAAAGATCCCACCTAGAATTTGTTATTTTTGCTTTTATGTCTTAAGACTTGATTATGCAAATTTTGTTCTGTTCTGTGAAAACAAATTTTTGCTAGACCGTCTTTAGTAGGTCCCAAATGCGGCAGCACATTTTTTGTCAAACTTGGATAGGTGCACTCACATCACTCCTGTACTCACTAATCTACACTATCTTTGGTGTAAGATCTTGCTTTTTGCCTATAAATCCCTTCATGAACTGGCTCCGTCCTGTCTCTAAGAGGTACTCACCTGTTACATACCTACCTGCTCACTGAGGTCTGCTGACCATCTCCTTCTCTGAACCCTGAGAACACACTATACTATAAATCAAATGAGGAATGTGTTTTTGTGTTCGCTGCTCCTCAACTCTGGAATGAGCTTCTTCTTGTGGTGAGACAGTCTCCCTCCATTGCTTGTTTTAAATCAAGACTAAAGGCTCCCTTTTTTAATTTAGCTTTTGGCTTTTAATGTTTTGACATGTTGTGCGTTTAGCTGTGATGTTATTTGTGTAACCCTCTATATTGTACTGCCACTGTTTTTTTTTCTTGTTTGTCTGTACTCCTTTATGAAATGTTACTCTTTTGTTTTAATGGTTTTGTACACATTTTGGTCAGCTGCTGTGTTGAGTGGTAAAATAAAATCGTCTTGACTTCAGTGGTGCAGTGGTGAGGCCCCTTCTGAAGAAGAGCAATCTGGATCACAGTGTTTTAATCACTGTAGACCTGTTTTCAGTTCCAATCATATGTCTTTGTTGTGAACAATAACTATATTTATAATACATTTTTATAAAATACGAGCTTTGAAGTTTGTGTGGGGTTGCACATGTTTCACTGAGTTGTGTGTGGAAAAGGGTGTATGCAATGCTTTTATACATGACTTCCCTGGTTAGAATTCTCAACGGGCCCAAAAATTCAACCCAGAACTTAAGTGACCTGACAGACTTGGACCCCAAAACTGGCTCTCCCACCATATTCACATAGTATCAAGGAATAGTAATGCTTCCCCTGTGTTTGGTTTGTGGAGCTTCCCCCTCTCCTCTATTGTGCTGCCAGCCACACTAAAGGTCCTTCTTCCTTTATCTCTCTCTCTACCATTGAAGCCTGACATGGCCCAGCCAATAAACTTAATTAGTTGGTCCAAACCGACCTGTCCCATCGAGCTTACTCATGACAGACTTGGTCTCTGGTTGAATAGCAGAGCTCTATCCCAGGTGTCCTCCTCATGACATACCACCTTCTGAGAATTGTTGCGGTCCAACAGGTCCATCATTTCTGGGGGCATAAGATGGACACGTTATTTTTTTTTGTCTGCACCTACACCAAATGCAATCAATATCTACATACTAAAGTCATTCAGAATGAATCTATTTAGAGTTCAAACATACCGATGTGACGTCCTTACAATTGCCAGGATCATCCATGCAGCTACACTGACCCCTAATTAGAAACTTTTAAGATTACATAATTTATTGAAGCTACTTGTGTCTGAGCTTTAAGAAGTTTATAATGCCTTCCAAACAGTGAGGCAGACTGAACACTGGCCTTCAGGTCCCTGACTGAGAGTCCAGGCTCCTTGTTTGACATTTGTAAGTAAATATAAGAACTGTTCAAGCATTCACACTTTGTTGATTATATTCAGTGATGAAAGCTGACAGCACATTAACCAACTAATCATTAAACTAAAGTTATCTACCTCAAAATGTACTTTCATTCAAATCTGTGTAACAAGAAGCTGCTCTGCAGAGTTAAAGGCTGTCGAGTTGATTTGTTGAATATGTTTATTTTGCAGCTTTGAATGAATTACAGCGTCATTGTTTCTCATGCTAGATTGTCTGCAGATGTTGTGTACAGGAGTAAACATCCAGATTATGACAAGATAGTGTGATCACAGACCGTTTACTGTACTGATGTCCTCAATGGCCTGGATCTCAAACTTCACATTGATTGATCTAATTCCACTCTGTGGGCCGCCGTCTTTCAAACTCAGCATGATCAGGAATCATGATAAATGATCCCACCCTGGTCCCAATACTTAAAGGATTGAAAATGAAATGTTTTATGTGTGCATATGTTTAGTGAGCTGCAGTATCTCTATGGTACAGGCTGTGTAATGTTTTTTAAGTTTTAGTGTTCAATGTTCAATCTTTTACAGTATATGCCTCAGTGTGTCAGTGATCAGTATGACATTCAAATATATGTTTAAATTAGTGTAGAGCTAAATTAAAATGAACAATTTATTTTTTCTCATAAGAAAAAATTCAAGTACTCATCTCTCCATCATTAAGCACATGCGTTTTATAACAGAAGCCCAGAGGAATCAAATCAAATGCTGGCTTTGAATGCTTTTGGGGTTCCACCTTTAGTAAGTTGTTGTTGACTATTTTAGTTGTTTTTGTAATATGTCTAATAATGTATTCCACCAATTATTTTTCTTTCTCATTTAATTTGTATTTCATTTTCACTAGAAATTGCTTCTATCAGATATTTTATCACACCTGCTTGGGAGTGACTGAAGCAGGCAGTTTGACTAATTTAGCTTTTGCAATTTGAATGTGAGACAAGGCAGACGGGCCCAGTTCAGACACAACAAAAACAGACATTGTGCATTCTTGATTAATCTGTTTGGGATTAATTTAATTTGAATATTCCCAACAAATAGATTACCTGTAAATGAAATTTGGCTATTTTATTTTTGAGAAGGAATAATAAAAAATCACTGTAAACAAACAAAAAAAGAAATAAAACCTTTAAAAATGAAATTGTATAAAACATACAAAAGCATATGATACAATTTCCTTAATTATAATTATTAAATAAATAAGTAAACATACCAAGTACTGTGATTTTTTTCATGTTATGACCCTGCTTCACCTAAAACAAAGATGCAATTCACTTAGAAGGAGCTCTCCATCTTTGCTGCATCTGGAGCTTTCCCATTCATGTCAGGTTTCACGGACAGAACCAGTTCCATTTCTTGGCCAGAAGGTGGAATGGGTATTTTGTTGATTTTAGCAAAGCTTTGGCTGATGTCAATAAATGTTTTATTTTTGGTTTCAGGAAGAAAAAGGCAGAGAAAAATAGACCCCAGGGTGCAGACGACCACAAACACCAGGAAAGCAAATGTCTGCAACTTCTCCTGCAGAAACAGACACAAAAAGTATTATTAGATTGATTGGTTTCATTATTCCCTTATAAAACTCCAGTTTAATTGTTCAGTCAGATACTAACTATTTAGATATATTACATTTTCATATTTCTACCTTCAAGACACTTGATTGAAATCTTTTCTTCTTAAAGCCAAATCAGTATTTTCAAAAATTCAAGAAAGGCATCTTCTGAGGCATCTACTTTGTATTTTCTTTGTCAAACTGAAAACAGTTAATCATCCCCATGATTTTCCACTTTAAACGTGCCACAAGGCTTTCTTGAGGGTTCTTTCACTTCACTTTATATTAACTGCTTGGATTTTTCAGCCAAAAAAAAGTACGTTTGTTGAAAAAAAGAGAATTCTTCTCGATTTGATTTCCTAAACCAACTTTTAAATTTATTAGTATTGAGCAGCACATGCATGCATTTATGTGGCTAAATGCTTAAAGTGCCAAAGCTAACCTTGTTCAGTATTCCATGCCAATAATGGAGATTTGCAACAGATTTAAAATACACACAGTAGCTGATTGCCCAGAGAGAGATTTAGATACCGGGAAAGGATTTAGTGTGTTTTTGGGTGTGTGTGTGTGACAGAGAGAATATCTGATGCAGAGTTTTACATGAAGCACAGAAACGTGTCTGACCCTCAGCAGTGCGTTACCAAACTGTAATCCTTCCTCATCACGGGACAGAGTGCAATGTACCTGATCATAAAAATGCACCAAAAAAATAAAATAAAATAAAATAAAACAACCATGACAACTACTTATCACTTTACATTTTGAGGTTAAATTATCACTACTGTTAGCAACTGACTTTTTTTCCCTCAGATGTGTGTATTTTATAAGATACACACATGCATGTAATAAAAAGTGTACTGTGAAAACAGCCTGACCTAGTTTCTCTGCTGCTTAAATGACGCAACACACATGCAGACTGTGGCCCAATAGAAACACACACACATGCACGCACGCATGCACACACACACACACACACACACACACACACACACACACACACACACACACACACACACACACACACACACACACTAAATGCTCATTGAAGGGCTCCATTCAACTGAACATTTATGCTTCAGACTGCAGAAACCAGAGTATCAGTAGAGAATATGCAGACTCCACACTGAAAGAACGGAGTGAACTGACATTTGAACCAGAGACCTTCTGACTGAGATGACAAATGTTCCCACCATGCAGCCTGAGACCCATCAGCCGATGGAGACACAGGTTTCACAGTCAGATATGTTGGCTCAGGACTGATGTGACATGATGAGAGGTGATGGCACTTTCAACAACAGACACCAGGGTCTGGTTATAGAACCAGACAAAGAGTTGGTTTGCAAACACAGAAAACTCTTTTACACATTTTCAAAAGAACTAATGATCTGTGTAGTGACCATCAAGTCCCACTTTTAGTCACCCTTGGGTGCGGGTGGAGGCAATGACTCGCTTCAACAATATTGTCCAGGCAGAAAGTGGGTTTGGGTTTATTGTCCCATTTATTGAATATGTTGACGATCACAATCATGCAGGGTTCAGAATGGCTATTTCTTGTCAAGGTTTATGTAAATGATGAAAATTATAACGGCGAATTAGATGTGGCATATGAAACCAAACAAAGTGGTAAAAACCGTGTGACCTCCCATCACCCAAAAAACTCCAATGCACTGCCACCTCAACATCTTTATAGGCTCCACAGTGCCACCAGTGGTTAAAGGAAATACAAACCATAGTGCAATAAACTGAAATATACATAAAACATTATCAAAATAAACTTAGACCATATTCTAATCTAAACCAAAACAAAGAAATGACCTCAGTGATGACGAGGATATTAAGAGGCAATGCGGTAACTTGTACATGCAGGCTAGCACTCTGGCACGTAACTTTGGCATGTGCTCAGATCCTGTTAAAGTGTCCCTCTTTCGTTCCTTTTGTACTCCTCTCTATACAGCCCACTTGTGGTGCAACTATAGTAAGGTAGTAATGAAAAAGCTTCAAGTGGCTTATCAGGATGCTTTTAGAATCCTCATGAAGCTCCCTAGATGGACTTCGGCAAGTCATATGTTTGTTGTGAGTAACATCCCTACTTTTCATGCGCTTCTGAGGCTCTTCATGTACAAATTCATCTGCCGACTGAGTTTGTCAGCTAACGCTGTTGTTAGAGCGCTGTCATCTTTATCTTACAGTGACACGAGGTACTCCTCAGTCCTTCTTAAACATTGGAACAACTGCCTATACGGTTTGTAATTAGAATGTGTTTGTATTTTTATTTTATTTTTACTTTATTCTTGTTATGGACATATTCCTTGTCTGAAATAAAGTTTGATTGATTGAATATTGGCTCCTACAATCTGTCATCAGAAATCACTTTTCTCTTTTCTTGCAAAAATCATCAAAATGTCAGTCATTTTGAGTAAAATTACATATTTGGTAATATTTCCGTCCAGATAAGTTCTAAATAGACCAGCTATACAGACAGACAATCAAACTGCACCCAGCCTCCGCAGATGTTAACACTAGCTAACCCTGAGTGAGAACGGAGCAGGACATCAAACCAGACGGAGCAGTCTGGGTTCAGATGCAGTGGAACAGAAACAAAACACAGGTTGACAGGAAAAAAACAGATAGGAGTGGGACAGCACTGTGGAAAGCAAAAGGGACATGACTCGAATGTCAAAATCCAAGATCAAGCCTCAAAATAAAATACTACAGGGAGATTATTTAGGGCTCACTTACAAAGGTATGGGTATAAAAATAGACTTTTTTTTTAAGTGTGAGCATCTAGTGGAGCCATTGTTATATAAGTTTTCATCCATTTTTGCATAAAACAAGAGAAACCTATTATAAATTGCAGTGCAGGACATGCATATGAAAAAACTAACTACAATTCTTAGGATCATCATATCTCTCTCTCTCTCTCTCTCTCTCTCTCTCTCTCTCTCTCTCTCTCGCTCTCTCTCTCTCTCTCTCTCTCTCTATATATATATATATATACATATATATATATATATATACATATATACATATATATATATATATATATATATATATATATATATATATATATATATATATATATATATATACATATATATATATACATATATATATACATATATATATATATATATATATATATATATATATATATATATATATATATATATATACACCAGCGAAAATACATACCATCACTTTAAAGGTGAACTGGGCAGTTTTTGCTTGCTTTTTGCACCCCCACTGTCCAATTGTAAATCTGAAAGCACCAAAAATGAAACTTCCTCGCTGAGCATTTGTCTTTTTAACACCTTAGTCTAACAGCTGAAATGTCTCCACAGCCTTCCTTAGTGTCTACAGAAATGATTCATCACTAAATCAAACAAATCAGATGTGTTCATGATCTAATGCATGCAGGAAACTTGCTGGAAGCAGACTGTAGTGCCCAGTATGTCAGCCCAATTTTTGTGGAATATTCTGGCCACAGGGGGTGATAGGGGCTGGGTTTCCTTTCATTAACCTTCTAAAGGGTAATTTTAGCACATAATTGCTCACGAAAAGTATTTAAAACTATGAAAAAGTTGAAAGTTATCTGTTTACGCACAGCTCACACTGCAGGATTTTTAAATTGTCTGCAATTTTTAAAGCATGAGAGATCACACAAGGGGTGATAAAAATCATGAGTCATACCAACTTAGCAAAAAATACAAACTACACTTGAACCACTTTTATTTGTGGACATTCCTTCTGAGCAGACTGGAGCACTCGTAACACACCACACACAGTAGGTTTATCTGATACGATTATCTTTATAGCTGTTGCTGTAATGGTGTACAACTTTAATATTGTCAGAAGGGACAGGGTTGGTCAAAAACTGGCATGATGATCCTGTCGTGTCATCTGGGGTTAACCTGCTGTAGATAGGTTTGTGAACAACCTTGGTGAGGGGATACAGAAATTATTTTAGACCAGATAATGTCACGGCAACTGCACATTATGTAATAAAAATATATAAATTAGTGTTAATGCACTTTTAAATCAATAGTTTAGTTTAGCAAGCAAAAATGTTATCCAAACTAATCTTGGCCCACAATAATAAAAATGCATCACATAACTGGAATTCTGGGTTGATTTATCACGTTTGGGTTTTGTTGTTGCCTTTGTTTCTGTGCTAAAAACACAAACCATACAAACAGTTTAAAACATCTACATTCACAAATATTACTATATTAAATCAAAACAGAAAAACTCAGAACAATCAAAAACAATAAATACAAACTACCGGATAAAAACATGACATAGAAATGCCCGAACAATAACACAAAAAAAAATACTTTCAAAAGTTTTCAGGAATTTGCACACTTTTTATTGTTAGATGTTATATTAGTTATGCATTTTATATGGAACTGATATGAATTGTAAATAGTTTTTTTTTATTATTTTTTTTCCTATTTTAAAAATTCATCACCACTGCCGTCCGTTGCCCAGAGTGACACCTCTGCAGTGGGGTGTGACAAGGACGTGTTAGTGCTGGGGTGTGTTGTTTTAACAGGGTCAGAGCTGGTTTCAGGTGGAAGTCAAGAACCAGTGAGTCACCGCTGTGATCTAGATGACCAGTGTGAGCCTGGGAGTAAGTGGGACCAGCAAAATGAGTCCTGCAACAACAGAGGCTCTGGCTGCCTAAAAATAACGTTCTGTCACCTCTCGTCTCTAACACCTTCCTCGCCTTCCTTTGGCCAGCCTTATCTCCTGGGTTCTTCTCTTTGCTTTTCCTAATTATTTTCCACACATCTCCTGTGGTATTGCTTCCTCTTTGCGGTTTGCCTTTGTTGTCTGATTTCAGTTAGACTTGTCCCTTTATTTACCAACATCTATTTTCAACAATATCCTTGCACAACCATCAAAATGAAAAAAATCTCTTGTTCTCATGAGATGGATTAGCTAAAACACAAATGGCCTGTATTCGTTG